CAAAATTGATTTTACCGTCATAATTCACAACACTAATCTTTATATTCTGAAGTGCCACCTGAACTGTACTCGTCGTAGCCTTGCTACTTTCACTACTTTCTCTTGCCATTGCTTACTAACTCTAAAATTGTAGAGGAAAGATTCGAACTTGATAGAGTTGAGAAATCATCCAAATTAAACCCTAGATAGGATTCCAAAATAATCTCCCAACCACACGAGGAATGCGAGATCTTCAATGGCAACTCTGCAACGATATCTCCACCGAAACCTAGATCTCCAAGATCCAAGCTTCCAACACCGAGTTTTCCTCCATCCAAATCAAACCCTAGATTTGAAATCTGGCTCTGATACTACTTGTTGTGCCCGACAGAAGTGTGCACAATCCACGACGAGTCGGTCAGCAACGCGAGAAGAACATCACAAGCACAATTCACAATGAAACGACCAAAACCAATCATAAACACAGAAAATTTATGTGGTTCTGCAAGTTGCTTACATTCACCTGGAGAGGATAAGGAGATTTCACTATATGGAGGAGAAGTACAATGTGTTACAACTCTCTCAAATCATCAAAATAACCCTAATTAACAAGATCTCACTCCCTCTCGATAATCTCCCTCTCAAAGTGCTCAAAACAACCTATTTTCTCTATTAAATCTCTCTCTAAACCCTAGAAAACGTGTTTCTATTTATATCAAACTCAAATCCAAAACAGGCTAGGAACCAGTCGCGATCCAATATCAGCTATCAGTCGACTGATGAGTCCTCAACAGTCGACTAGTGGATGTCCAACGGTCGACTAATGAAGGCTCATCAGTCGACCGATCAGTGTGTTGTTTTCCAGTCATGAAGGGTTCACGCGATCAGTCGACTGATGACTTCGATCAGTCGACCGACCCGAGAGTTCCTGTAGCTTCTTTTCTCATGTGATTTTTCCGCCTTTTTAAACACATCCAACTAGTCACATTGGAACATATGAATGTTGCATTTCTATCTCTACAATATGTGTGAGAACCAAGAAAGTTAATTAAGTTTCTGATTATAGTTATTCAGGGGAGGAGCTATATGGGACTCAATAGGGCCGTGACCCCTCCTTGGATAATATAAAAAAGGAAAAACAATAAGTATTGATGTTTTGTAATTTTCTATATAACAAGGGCTAAAGCATAAACCCTCTAGCAAAAACAAAAGCCGCTCATTCTTTCTAAGTTCCTTGCCTTCTTTCTAATCCGCCCCTTTTTCTTCTATAAATAATAATTTTATTAATTTGATTAGGGTTTTAGTGTTTTAGGATGTCTAACTTTTTCACTATCTTGATTTGTCTAGGTTTTAGGATTTTAGGATATGGTCTGTGTAGGAAATCCAATTCTAGTCAATTGATTTGTGTAGGAAATTCAATTCTAGTCAATATTCATAATCATTTGATTCCTAATAAAACCAAAAGTATTGATGTTTATCTCACATCTCAACAAAGTCATCACACTCCAATTCAAAAATAAAAAGCCATCACCCTAATCAATAATATACATGGATTATATTTTAAGTGATAATTTGCATTTAAAATTTTTTATATCCATACATTTTATTATTTTTCAGTCATGAAAAGATTTTTTTTTTATCCTACCATCGATGGGTGATGGTGACTCGATTATACAGCAATTTAGAGTATCTTCTACTCCTATGGGTGAGGGTGACCCGCAATCAAACCATCGCTATCATCTTCACCCCCTCATCTTCCACGCTCACAAATTTATTTTGCTACATTGATGAGGAAGATGCAATGAAACGATTTTAAGAAATAAAGGCAAGAAGAAAGCCAGTTTAAACACTGTTATGATTGGAAATATGATTTGAAAGTCTAATTACATAATGATCTTTAGACGGCAATTAATTATGCAAAAATATATATATGTTATCATGTTTAATTATTTTTTGGACCCCCATCAAGAAATTTTCGTCACTGTATTCTAAATTAGATATACATTAAAACCTCATTTAGTAGGTAGGAATGTGGTGGAATGAAATGGTCATTCTCACCTCTCATTCCTTCCTACCAAACACACCCTCTTTTTTGAAGTTAGAAAGCACATTCCCACTTCTCACCAATTCCCACTTTATGTGGGAATGAACATTCCCAATGAAATGATAGCGAATAAGCATTCTCACTTAAATGTGAATCAATAAAATATACAATTTTAAAATACGTACATTCCCACTTTATTTTATAAATTACACCCAAACAAGAGAATGAAAATAACTATTTTATTCTCACATTAATTTTATTCCATTCATTTGAGTCCATTCTCGCGTATCAAATGAGGCGTAAGACTAACGTCAATGATCAAAATATATTGATAATCTAAACCGTAATGGTTGGACATTAACTATTAATTAAAAACACAAGTCTCGGGGACATGGAAAAACATACTAGCTCCTTTTTTATCCTTTCTCCATATAAAATTAGGAGGATGGAAGCTTCTTTGGCCCGTCTCTACCTAACCCTGTGGAAAAGCGAAGGTTAGGTGAATGTGAGGATGGGACCCCTCCTACCCTTGGATCTTTTCTCTCGGGGGCATGGGAGAGTTTGTTCTCTCTCACTCATCAAGGATTCAAGGGCCATGTTTCACTCTCATCGGTCATCTCATCAATTTACCAAATTTGGGATTGAAAAATGATAGGGGCATACCCCTAACCATAACCTCAATCACACCCCCTTTCTCATTTGCTACAGTAAGCCAGACCCTACATGGGATTTTAAAATTAATTTTAAAATCCCATGTGGAGCCCGATGTACTGTAACAAATGAGAAAATAGGTGTGATTAAGATTGTGGTTGGGGGTGTGCCCCTAGTGCCACCCTTGGGGATTTATGATTCTTCAGATCATAAGTATCAAAGCTTCAGGCGTGACCATGTGGCACCTCCAATGTACGAAGTCCACTTGTTTATGGTGTGATTGTCCCTCTTTTGTCTTCCGCAAATCTTTGACAGTTTGACGCGTTGTCAAATTTTGCTTTTCACTTCTTATACATTCTTAGGGTTACAGAAATCTTCCCATCTTAATTTATAACAATTTTCACAGGTTATCTTGTAAGTTAAGAAAGTACGGGTAGCTATATGCAAAAAAGACCTGAATCATTTAGCCGCAATTTCACTATCAGACTTCTTCCTATTTGTGTAAATAGTTAAACCAATACGTGACAGGCTGACAACATGACTTATGAGAGTCACTAGCAGAGGAAATAGACCTATAGCTAACAGTGGAAAATATGCAATAGTTTATTTGATACTTGAAGATAGATAAGGGGCACCCAGTTTTTTCTTGTTGGATGGTTATCTTCAGGCTTTCTAGAGTCAGTTGAGACCTTTTCCTATCTAGAAGTAGAAGAATATTACCTCCATGCAAATAGTTTCAGAAAGACAAAATGGTCAAATCCCTCTTAATTAAAGTATTGATAAACTCTGAAGTTCGTATCAATATTTCTATTTTCTCCCTTGAACTATGTTTCTAATATGACCATTTTGTAAGTATTAATTATGATGTGATAGTAACTTTTTGTATTTCCTGTATTTTGTAATTTATAAAAATAAAAAAGGGTTGAAGGGGAAGTAGTTAAGAATTTCTTTTGGTTTGGAGAAAAAAAAGGAGATAAAATGATAAAATCAATAAAGAAATGCAAAAACACACCGTCACATCATTGATTTTTTAAATACTTAACTGCGATCTCACAAAATGATCACAATTAAACCACAAATATAGTTGAGGGGTCAAATAGATAAATTGATATTTTAGGAAGAAACTTGAGGCGTTTATAGATACTACAAGGTTGAGTTAGTTATTTTGTATTTTAAAAATAATAATAAAGGACACAGTTAGTTGTACCTTTGACTTATTAGTATGTAATTTTTTTTTTTAAAAAAAACAGTTGTAGTAATTTGTTTTCTTGCAACTACAACGAGAGTAACTAGAAGAACATGCACTTAAATAATTCATATAAAATGTAACAATTCTCTTAAAAAGAGTTATAACAAATAATAAATAATCCTAATATTTCCTTTTTCTATAAAGGGCATAACCTTTAGCCCGAACTAACCCCTGCCTTTGTCCTTGGCTCCTTGCTTCTTGCTGTAGCTTGCCCAAGTCCGCAAGTAACAACTTTGAACTATAAATTATGAAGCAGGTACAGGCCAAATTAAACACCGATGCGTGCACATTCATTCTCTTTCTTTTGGCCTAATCCTGTTTTTTGTTTCCATTATCTTATGATGATGTAATCAAAACTTTAACCAAAACTAAGGGCTTGTAATTTTCACTTTGCTGCTCACTGATTATGATAGCTGACAAGTCAAGTTTCAGTTGAAAAATAAAAAAGAGTGGCTTATTGATAAGAGTGAGTACACAATGACACACTGCTTTGCTAATTGTGGATGTTAGCTAAATAGACCTATATTTTATTTGTTCAGCTTTATTTACCTATTCATAGACTTGTGCCACCACATGTTAAGATATTTCAGGGACCTTAACAATGTCCCCACACAAGATATGCTAAGCTACTTTAGAGCCCCTTACCATGTCCCCACATATCGAACGTCTTTTCAGAGGCCGAAATCTAGACTCACGCAACGGTATCAATTTTTGAATACTCTGTTTTAGATTCGCAGATGGTGGGATTTGAACCTGAGTTCCTCTGATTCCATCCCTAACCATTGCACCAAAACTCGAAAGCTACGGTGAGAATTGAGCGTGATTGTTTTATACTCTGGTAAGATTACGTTTAAATTAATCCTTATCTAACAAATGATTGATTGATCCCAAAAAAAGATAAGAACCCGAGCAGTAGATTAATGATGCAAGCAAAAAAAAAAGTTTATAACTTTTTATTAGTGTAGTGGCTTTTAATGGGATCAACTAATCACACATATGCCCAAATTTGTTGAAACCTGAAGAGATCACATCCACCGATCCACTTCCCAAAAAGTTCAGAAGCAACAAGAGTTCGAGTTATATGAACACGGATATTGCTTTTTCACACGTCCTATTATCGTCGTCACATAACAAAAGAGAGAATCAGTTACACGATAATTTGCGCCCCGAATAATTAATCAATAGCTATTATCAACAAGTTATATCACAAAATGAGAACCGAAAGTTTAATAACAGTTTTCATTATTCTCCTTTTCTATAGTCTAAGACACCAGTCCTAAGTCCGAAAAAGCTGTGACCACCAGCCTCGCTCTTGACGGGTTCCAATTGGGACTGGACGGGCGGGCTTATTCGGAGCTCCAGATTAAGATCCGGAACCCGGTACCAAGACGAGGGGGACTCCTCGCTGCTGCTACTCTTCTCCTCCCCTTTCTTGTCAAAAGAGATGGTAGTCGTGTTGGACGAAACCCGATCCGTTACGGGGCGATGGGTTGCCGGGTCCACTCCCCGGCTTAGAAGCTTTCTGCGGATGTGCGTGTTCCAGTAGTTCTTGATCTCGTTATCCGTCCTGCCGGGTAATCTACCCGCTATAAGTGACCATCTGCATCCAATAAAAAAAATAATTTTTTTTATTACTAGCTAATTGAAGGATTGCTAGTTCGTTCATAGGATTAAGCGTATATTTATTTACTAATTTTTTTTTTCCATATTTCATATGAGACAGCCACCCGTTCGTTTATGAGGTGGGTGTGTGTTTAACAGTTTAAGTGTCAGATGATCGATCAGTTACTTGTTGCCGAGGAGGCTGTGGAGTTTGATGATGAGGTCGTCTTCATCCTGCGTGAAATTCCCGCGCTTGAGGTCAGGCCGGAGGTAGTTGATCCACCGGAGGCGCCAGCTCTGCCGCAGCGGAGGAGGCCGGCGGCCTTCGGTAGGGACGCCAGCATCCCTCGCCCGTGCCTGGATGTGGGCGACGAGACGGTCGTCTTCCTCCTTCGTCCATGCCCCCTTATTCGTATGGGCTTTCTCACAACAGGGAGACCTCCCCATGATAATTTTAAACCCTTTTTTTTTCTTTTAGATGGGGTGGATTTTATTGGGTTTTTGGATGGGAGAAAGGAGAGCGGGGTTGGGGATTTATAGTGGTTTGACTAGTAGGTATAAAAGCGAGTGGTGTGAGTGGGGTCCTTTGTGGATAATCAAAATAGGGGGAAGAGTATGACATATTATACTTACATGTAAAAGCTCATGTGAACTTAGGTAGGTATGAGTGTTTGTCCGCCAAAGTTTTCATCCATTCGTTATGCTCTGAGATTTAAAAAAAAAAAAAAAGCTGGCGGACAGATGGCTCCTATCACTTAAGTTTATAGGAGCTTTACTCTTTATTTATCGTATTAACTAAGTGCAAACTCTAAATATTGTTATAATGCTTAATATGTATAAAGGCGATCATAAACCCTATCAGTATAACTACTCTATCAGTATAACTAACGACTTTTAAATCTGTGTTGAAACATGTGTTGCGTTCTACTTATTAACATGACTTTTCAGGTCGCGATACAGGAAATCATATAGCCGAATGAGGATATAACGCATATGTTGTGCGCGGCGGAAGCTTCTCGGAACGACACGAACAATCCAAGAGATAAATCACAACTAATAAGCCAAACACAATACCAAAGCAAGACAATGAGTTTAACGTGGTTCGGCAAGTTGCCTACGTCCATGGGGCAAGAAGGGGGGAGTTCTTACTATTAGAAATCAAGAGAATACAAATAGAGTTACAAATCTCACCGATCAAACCCTAAAACAAAACTCTAGATCTCTCACAAATCTCTCACAATTGGATGCAACAATCCTCTCCAAAAGACTGCTCAAAATCGTCTTTGTTTAACCCTAATTAATCAGGTTTAGGGTTATATATCAACTCAGAAATGAACCGGGTCAAAAACCAAGGCACAGCCCAAAATCAGTCTGCGGTCGACCACGCAGGTCTCGCGGTCGACCGCACGAAGCTCGCGGTCGACCGAACACCCCCGACAGAGAACCAAAAATCCTACAGTCAAACTCGCGGTCGACCGTAGCGGTCGACCAAACTGATTTCCCAAGAGATAATCGCCTACAGGGTCCCCGCGGTCGACCGCCACGGTCGACCGCCTTCAACTCCGAATCCTACTGGCCTTCGTGCACGTTCGCGGTCGACCGTCGCTGACCCGCGGTCGACCGCCAGTCTACCTGGCCGATTCTTCTGTTGTTTTCCTGCACTCTCTCGACATTTCTTCAATTCTTCACCTCGGCAAATGTTTCTACCAAAACTGAGCCGACACCAAATCATCCAATAGTCCCTCAACAAGTCCGAGAACCAAACTAGAGCTGAAACGTAATCTCCCCCCATCCGAATCAACAGATCAAACCGGCTGTATCTGAAAGACTGCCTACGTATCCTCTTGCCTAAGGAATCAAGCCGAACGTAGTTCACCCAAATGGCCTCCAAATGCCTCAATACTGAAGAATGTTCAAAAGATTCAAACAATGACCAAATTTTACTCCTGAAACAACTTTGGTCAGCATGTTTGCATGGTTGTCGTTCGTGTGGACATTCTCCAATATGACGTCTCTATCATCCAAAACGTCACGAACAAAGTAGAATCTGACATCGATGTGCTTCGTGCGTGCATGATAAACCTGGTTCTTTGCCAAATAGATAGCTGACATGCTATCACAATATACCCAAATGGTCTCTTGTGCAATCTCTAAGTCCTTCAATAATCCACGCAACCACAAAGCCTCCTTCACAGCTTCAGTCACAGCCATATACTCTGCCTCTATAGTAGAGAGAGCCACTGTGGACTGAAGTATACATCGCCAATATACAGGTGCACCTGCCAATGTAAAAGCATAACCTGAAGTAGACCGGCGCTTGTCAAGATCTCCAACATAATCTGAATCCACATATCCAATACAATCCTGTCCATTCTTCTCATCCTTCTGGAATACTAAACCAATATCCACGGTGCCTCGAACATACCGTAGAATCCACTTCACAGCCTCCCAATGACCTTTCCAGGGGTCGTGCATGTATCTCGATATCATGCTCACAGCTTGTGACAAATCTGACCTCGTACACACCATTGCATACATCAAGCTACCTACTGCACTAGCCTATGGGACCTTCGACATATAATCTCTGTCCTCAACTGAAATATGTGACATCAACACTGAAAGCTTAAAGTGGGGAGCTAATGGTGTGCTAACGGCTTTTACATTGCCATCAAAGCTAAATTTCTTCAACATCTTCTGCAAGTAGCTTTTCTGTGTAAGTTTCAAACTCCTTTTCACACTGTCTCTCTCAATCTCCATACCCAATATCTTCTTTTCCTCTCCAAGATCCTTCATCTCGAACTCGGATGACAGTTCCTCTTTTAACTTTCGAATAGCCAAAGAATTCCTGGAAGCAATAAGCATATCGTTAACATATAAAAGCAAATATATGTGCTCACTATCCTGTAGCTTGTGCATATAAACACATGGGTCATATGGGCTCCTCGTGTACCCATGGCCAATCATAAAGCTGTTGAATCTCTTATACCACTATCTCGGCGATTGCTTCAAACCATAAAGAGACTTTTTTTAGCTTGCAAACCAAATCTTTCTTTCCTACAGCTTTGAATCCAAAGGGTTTTGTCATGTAGATCTCCTCATCTAAATCACCGTATAGAAAGGCTGTCTTTACATCCATCTGGACCAAATTCAAATCCAACTGTGCCACTAATGCTAATAAAATCTGTATCGACGAATGCTTCACAACGGGTGAAAATACCTCATTGTAATCAATACCCTCAAGTTGTGCATACCCCTTGGCAACCAATCTAGCTTTGAATCGAATGTCTCCAATAGAAGATCCCTCCTTCTTCGCATATACCCACTTACAACCTATAGATTTCTTACCCTTAGGTAGATGTGCAAGTGTCCAAGTATCGTTCTTCTGAAGAGATCGCATCTCCTCCTCCATAGCTTCACTCCACCTGGTCGAATCAGGGCTAGACTCTACCTCCCTGAATGTGGATGGAACCATATCATCAACGATCTCCACTGATAATACATATGCGACCATGACATTATTATACCTAACTGGCCAACGAATTACTCTCCTCGGTCTATCTGCTGCTATGGACCCCTGAACATGACCATGTTCATGAGTCTCACCTTCCACTGTATCCTCAATCTGCCCACCTGTCATCCTATCTCCTCCCAGTGTCACCTATGTAGGAGCCTCGATGGATACAATACTCTCTGGAGTGGGTGGAGTCACATCATCCTCCACCTGCTGTGATATCTTAAATGTCTGGTCTCCCTCCACTTGCTGAGGGACTCGAGGCATCATCATGTACGCCTCATCGAATGTGACATCTCTGTTAATAACTATCTTCTTATCCTGTGGATCCCATAACTTGAAGCTTTTAACTGACATGGTAATAAGCTGGACACCCAAATATCCGAAGCGACTCATAGTCACTAGCCACCGAACCAAACCAACGCTCCAAAGGAGTCTTCCTGTCTATCGTAGTGCATGGTAACCTATTCATGAGATGGCTCGCATAAACCAACGCGTCGGTCCAAAAGGATCTAGGCAATCCACTCTGTGTCATCATACATTACACCTTCTCCAGCAAGGTACGGTTCAATCTCTCAGTCACCCCGTTCTATTGTGGTGTCTCTCGAACTGTGAAATGTCTTCTAATGCCGTGATCCCGGTAAAACTACAGAAACGGATCACTCTTGTACTCTCCACCGTTATATGAACATAGAGTCTTCACCTTTCTACCTGTCTGTAGCTCCACTTTCTTTTTCTACTCCACAAAAATATCCAGGACCTGATGTTTATGCTTCATAGGGTATACCAAATTTCTCCTGGAATAGTCATCAATAAAAGTGACAAAGTAGTTAGCCCTACCAAGAGATGTGTTCTTGGAAGGACCCCAAACATCTGTATGAATGTAATCTAATGTACCTCGAGTGTTGTGAACAGCGATGCCAAACTTCACTCTAGTCTTTTTCCCGAGTACACAATGCTCACACAGCTCCATCTTGCAGGTCTTAGCATCTTTTAATAGCCCCTGTTTCGCTAATGACTATAGGACTTATCACCTGTGTGTCCAAGTCTCATGTGCCATAAGGTGGTAGTGTCCTCCTCTGTAGTGATAGAAGCTGTCAGACCCCATGTAACTGTCTTGCCCTTCAAGTAGTATAGGTTACTTTCCTTAACACCTCGCATCACCACTATAGAGCCCTTCGTGACCTTTCCTGTAGCCTCCTCTAAGATCACTCGATATCCTGCTGCCTCCAAAGTCCCAAGAGAAATGATGTTCTTCGTCAACTGCGGCACGAACCTTACTTTCTTCAACTCCCTAATCACTCTGTCATGCATCCTAATCCAGACTGAACCAATACCATCAATAGGGCATACGTGATCATTACCCATAAGCACGGCATCCCCTCTTTCCAGCTCCTCAAAGCTAGAGAACCAATCTTTCCTAGGGTATATGTGATATATAGCTCCTGAATCCATCATCCACTCTGTGAAATCAACATAGTAAACTGACGGTAGTGCAGGACACGAGTAGCCAGAAGAATCTGAATCTGAATGCTCACAAATAGCTTTTGCAACATTCACTTCTGAAGCCTGTGCAGCTTTCCCTTTGTTCTTCTCGGCTTTTTCTTCCACTTTGGGCAGTCAATCTTCCAATGTTCTTCTTCTTTACAATACCGATATTAATTTCTACCAACACTCTTATAGACACTCCTATTCTTTGACTTTGAACGGTTGAAATGGCGGCGGTTTGGATCACGGTCTCGAACAGCTAATGCATCTCCCGATGCCTTCTCGGAGGATTCACTATTACTCTTCCTCAACTCATAATTTACCAAGGCTGAGGTCACCTCCTTATAGTTAACTGTAGTTCTTCCATTGATCATAGTTAGAACAAACGTACCATAATCATTCTCGGGTAACGAACACAAAAGTAACATCACCTTGTCTTCATCCTCAACTATGATGTCCACATTGACTATATCTGAAAGTAGCTTAGTGAAATTGTTGATATGCTCCCTGATGGAAACT